CCCTAAATCTCCCACTCTCCCTAAATCTCTCACTCTCCCTAAACTCTCTCACTCTCCCTAAATATCTCACTCTCCATAAATCTCTCACTCTCCCTAAATCGCTCGCTCTCCCTAAATCTCTCACTCTCCCTAAATCTCTCAATTCCCCTGATCTCTCAATCCCCCAAATCTCTCAATCTCCCAATCTCTCAATCTCCCTAAATCTCTAAATCTCCCAAGATCCCTAAATCTCTCAATCTCCCTAGATCTCTCAATCCCCCTAAATCTCGCAATCTCCCTAAATCTCTCAATCTCCCTAAATCTCGCAATCTCCCTAAATCTCAATCTCCCTAAATCTCTCAATCTCCCTAGATCTCTCAATCTCCCTAGATCTCTCAATCTCCCTAGATCTTCCAATCTCGATGAATCTCTCAATCTCCCTAAATCGCTCACTCTCCCCAAATCTCTCACTCTCCCTAAATCTCTCACTCCCCCTAAGTCTCTCACTTCCCCCAAATCCCACACTCTCTCAATCTCTCACTCTCCCTCAATGTCCCTAGATCTCTCAATGTCCCTAGATCTCTCAATCTCCCTAGATCTCTCAATCTCCCTAAATCTCTCAATCTCCCTAGATCTCTCAATCTCCCTAGAAATCTCAATCTCTCTAGATCTCTCAATCTCTCTAGATCTCTCAATGTCCCTAGAAATCTCTATCTCTCTAGATCTCTCAATCTCTCTAGATCTCTCAATGTCCCTAGATCTCTCAATGTCCCTAGATCTCTCAATGTCCCTAGATCTCTCAATCTCCCTAGATCTCTCAATCTCCCTAGATCTCTCAATCTCCCTAGATCTCTCAATCTCTTTAGATCTCTCAATGTCCCTAGATCTCTCAATCTCCCTAAATCTCTCAATCTCCCTAAATCTCTCAATCCCCCTAAATGTCGCAATCTCCCTAAATCTCTTAATCTCCCTAAATCTCTCAATCTCCCTAAATCGCTCACTCTCCCCAAATCTCTGACTCTCCCTAAATCTCTCACTCCCCCAAGTCTCTCACTTCCCCCAAATCTCTCACTCTCCCAATCTCTCACTCTCCCTCAATGTCCCTAGATCTCTCAATGTCCCTAGATCTCTCAATGTCCCGAGACTCTCTCAATGTCCCTAGATCTCTCAATCTCCCTAAATCTCTCAATCTCCCTAGATCTCTCAATCTCCCTAGATCTCTCAATCCCCCTAAATCTTGCAATCTCCCTGAATCTCTCACTCTTCCTAAATCTCTCACTCTCCCTAAATCTCTCACTCTCCCTAAATCTCTCACTCTCCCTAAATCTCTCACTCCCCTAAAATCTCTCACTCTCCCTAAATCTCTCACTCTCCCTAAATCTCCACTCTCCCTAAATCTCTCACTCTCCCTAAATCTCTCACTCTCCCTAAATCTCTCACTCTCCATAAATCTCTCACTCTCCCTAAATCGCTCGCTCTCCCTAAATCTCTCACTCTCCCTAAATCTCTCACTCCCCCTAAGTCTCTCACTTCCCCCAAATCTCTCACTCTCTCAATCTCTCACTCTCCCTCAATGTCCCTAGATCTCTCAATGTCCCTAGATCTCTCAATCTCCCTAGATCTCTCAATCTCCCTAAATCTCTCAATCTCCCTAAATCTCTCAATCCCCCTAAATCTCGCAATCTCCCTAAATCTCTTAATCTCCCTAGATCTCTCAATCTCCCTAGAAATCTCAATCTCTCTAGATCTCTCAATCTCTCTAGATCTCTCAATGTCCCTAGAAATCTCTATCTCTCTAGATCTCTCAATCTCCCTAAATCTCTCACTCTCCCTAAATCTCTTAATCTCCCTAGTCTCTCAATTCTCCCTCCCACACTCTCTCAATCTCTCACTCTCCCTCAATGTCCCTAGATCTCTCAATGTCCCTAGATCTCTAAATCTCCACAGATCTCTCAATCTCCCTAGATCTCTCAATCTCTGAATCTCCCTAAATCTCCCTAGATCTCTCAATCTCTCAATCTCTCTCAATCTCTGAATCTCCCTAAATCTCCCTAGATCTCTCAATCTCCCTAGATCTCTCAATCTCCCTAGATCTCTCTATCTCCCTAGATCTCTCAATCTCCCTAGATCTCTCAATCTCCCTAGATCTCTCAATCTCCCTAGATCTCTCAATCTCCCTAGATCACTCAATCTCCCTAGATCTCTCAATCTCCCTAGATCTCTCAATCTCCCTAGATCTTCCAATCTCCCTATTTCTCTCAATCTCCCTAGATCTTTCAATCTCCCTAAATCTCTCAATCTCCCTAGATCTCTCAATCTCTCAATGTCCCTAGATCTCTCAATCTCCCTAGATCTCTCAATCTCCCTAGATCTCTCAATCTCCCTAGATCAGAGGTTCCCAAACTTTTTCTTAGGCGGAACCCTTCGCGGAACCCCTAGTGTTCCGTGGAACCCGTCCTCATTTTTCAAAAAATTCAGAGTCCTGTCAATTGCTCTTTCCTTGCAGCTATTAGAGGAGAAAACACGCGTTTGTTCCGGAGCAGACCCAAATGTTTATTGCTTAAGTCAATTCTTGTGTAAATTAGGAATGCTCATCTAGTGGGAACGTGCCTTGTGCAAGGAACTTCGCAGTGTGCATTCGATGCCGATCGATGCGCCAATTAGAACGATCCCCTTCGTATTGAGGAAGACATTTGGAATCAGGAAAAGAAGTTGCCCACAGGGCTACGTCACCTAGGGCCCGTATGAGACCGAACATATGGAAGCAGAAAATCGTCGCGGAACCCCGATTTGCGCAAAGAGCAGCCCACGGAACACTGGGGTTCCGCAAAGATTTTGTCACGGAACCCCCGGAAGAGAGCGACGGAACCCCAAGGGTTCCGCGGAACCCAGTTTGGGAACCTCTGCCCTAGATCTCTCAATCTCCCTAGATCTCTCAATCTCCCTAGATCTTTCAATCTCCCTAAATCTCTCAATCTCGCTAGATCTCTCAATCTCCCTAAATCTCTCAATCCCCCTAAATGTCGCAATCTCCCTAAATCTCTTAATCTCCCTAAATCGCTCCCTCTCCCCAAATCTCTCACTCTCCCAAAAGCTCTCACTCCCCCTAAGTCTCTCACGGCGGTCTCGAGCCGCCAGTAGTCAGGAACAAGTGACAGCTTGCGGAATCGATTCGCGGTCGATTCTGTCAGGTTCTGTATTGCTCAAATAAAGTTATCGCCCTGGTGTCCACCTCCTGTGAAATAGAGGTTGATAGAGGTTGTTTTCCATCAGATAGTGGCGGGTCGGTAACATTTGGTGTCAGAAGTTCGAACGAATCTGCGTGGGTCATCGGTCATCGTGACACGCACATTCTAGACCCGCTTTCGAATTTTCGGCTTGAAGGGGTAGTTCAGGAAATTTTCACGGCGGACGTCCTGCTTCGGGAGTCCGGGGATAGTTTAATCGTCCTGACCATTGGGATCAGTGTGAATCGAGCGTTCGCGAGGTCAGTATCGCAACGCGCAAGTCATACCCGCGTTCCGGTCATCCGACGGAAGGGGTTTCACTTTCGGTTTCCGGCCGAGCGAGGAAGTTTTCGAATTCCATCACTTCGCAGTTTCGACGCGAAGCTCGACAACCGAGTGCGGTTGGGTCATCAGAGGGACCTTCAGACTATAGTGAATCATAGCTCACGGGTCTGAGCAGTCCCACAGTCGGCGGATCGGAAATTCATTCGAATTGGTTTCCTTCGATCAGCTCCCCACTTCATCGAGTGCATTGTTTACATCTGTTCAGGTTCTCGACCGAACAGAGACTCCAATCAGGCTCAGATCTATTCATATCGAGTTAGGCTTAGGCTCGGGTTGACGGCCCGATCACAGCACTGAGGGTATGGCAGACCACGGTGAGAGGATGAAGCCCAAAGGGAGTACATCGGCGGAACTCACAGAGGAAAAATGCCGTTCAAACTCGGAGCTCGTCGAGAGCAAGAAATCGCGGAAGACGATTTACCGCAATGTAGATGAGGTCTTGGCATTAACCCATCAGCTCGACGCATTCGCAAATAAGCCAGCGACGCTGGCCAAAAAAATAGAGCGAATCTCGAATCTAGCAGCGGGTTTGGAGGCTAGGTTAGCCACCGTAGAAAGATCCATTCAGGGGCCGTGCGAAGATTTGGGCGAGGGTTACCCAGATGAGGAGGACAGATCCCTCTTCTACAGGGAGGTGTTTGTGGACATCAGGCAACTCCTTGAAGAGTATCAGGCGGGCCTCGCAGCCGCACCACCTGCGATAGCACCGGGGCTTGACAGGCCGGCAACGAACCAGGCTCAGGCTCTGGAGAGCACTCCAAACAGCCGGGTTCCGCCCGTTTCGGAGTCTTCGCCTAGATTCCTTCACAGCTTCATGGATACGGATAGTTTGGACCGCCAGGCGGAACAGAATGTTCGGCCCGCAGAAGGTCCGCCGCGGGACGCAGCAATACCGCCTGAGATGCCCAATGAGCAACGGCGATCCTCAGCCATGGAGAATGGCGCCGCATTGCCCTCGCCAACACGTCAGGCGTCGGGGATGGCGGCGGGTGGATCCAGTCAAACACAGTCGACGCTCGCATACTCGCTGGGTAAAGGTGCCCGGGAAGTTCCCAGGTTTAGCGGAGATCCACGGAAGTTCCGGGAATGGCAGCAACTATTTTCGGTATTTGTTGACCAGACACCGGCTCCGATCATGGAGAAACTAAACATGCTCCGAAAATCACTATCGGGCAAAGCTTTGTCGGCAATCGCGCACCTCCAATGGGAGGAAAGTCACTATCGATTGGCAAAGCTGATCATAGAGGAGAAATTCGGCGACCCGGAGGGGGCGAAGAAGGCCCACCTCAGAGAGATCGACAAGCTCCTCGAAAGGGGTCCGATCCGGAATCACGGCCTGGATTTATTCATTGAATCCTTGAGTGCAAATTGTCGGGCCCTCATGGCGCTAGGCTGCACGTTCGCTGAGTTATCGACAGCGACAACGCACAGAGTGCTGAAATGTATACCTCAGGAGTTAAGGTTCGAATTTGCCAAGGAGAAGGGCAGACGAAACCCTGCAATCCCCGGGATCCCGGAGTTGGAGGCACTTTTGATGTTCCTCGAGCAGACGGTCCGGGTTAGAAAGGACGTAGACTGGGTTGCGGAACCGTCAGAGAGATACAATCGATTCACGCCCAACTCCCAGTACAACAAATCGAGCGGAAGGGAACGTTTCGGTGCCGGAGCAAACACCGGGAGATTCAATAACCCTGGTCCATCTCACAACTTTCTCGCAAACGGACCTGCCCCGTCTAGTCAGAACCAGAGGAGTCACGCTCCTCCGACTGACACGTCGTGTATTTTCTGTGGGGAATCTCACCCTAGCTTCAGATGTAGAGCGACGCTAACGTTCGAAGAGAGATGCGAAAGGGTAGAGAGAGAACGAGCATGTCGGATCTGCCTGCAGAGAAATCATTTCGCAAGGCATTGCAGAAACCCTCCGAAAAAGAATTGCGCCAAATGTAATGGCAGGCATTACATCATCATGTGCAAAAGAGCACAACTAGATGCAGGCTCATTCCACGTAGATGAGACAACGGATGCGTCACACACTTGCGATTTTTCGGATCGCCTCACACGCACAGCGGTGGTCTGGTTGGTCGCCGGGAATCGGCGAACTCTCGCGAGGATTCTATTAGATCCGGGATCGGATATTTCATACATCACATCCGAGGCGGTAAATAGAGTGGGTTCACGGCCCACTCACCCAATTCACTCTACGGTGAAAACTATGGGGAACGTCGTGAATACTATGAATACTTTCGGACATACGGTAACGCTAGAGAGTGTATACGACCGCAGGAAGTCTGTCAAGGTGTCCTGTGTGGAAGTGCCGACCATAACGGACTCCATATACCCGAGAGTCAAAAAGAGTTTCGGTCTGGCTCCGGTCGCCGATCCGTCTGGAGTCGAGGAAAATCCGACAATCCTGTCCATGCTGATCGGGAACGATGCGTTGGCCGCAATCCACACCGGCACCGAGAAAAGTTTCGATAAAATTTTAGCAACATCAACAATTTTCGGTTGGCTGTTTGCTGGACCTATGAACAGTTCTGGGTATTCATCAGAGGACATGTCGTTGCTATGCGAATTGAGGGCATCGCTACCTAGACCGCTTCAGACTCGTCAGCCCAGTGAGTTAATGGCTCACTGTTTGATGAATTCTGTCGGTTCTCCGTCGAAAAAGAGATCAGAGCCGTCACTAGAATCAGATCTGAAGTTCCTCTGGGAGGCGGAATTCCTCGGTGTGGATGAAAGGACAGACGAAGAGGATTCCTTAAATAAGGAATTGAACGAATTCTTCGAGAACTCTATCCGTCGCAGAGAAGACGGTAGATACATTCTGGCGCTTCCGTTCAAAGACAACCTCGCATCCCTGGGAGATAACGAGGGACTGGTCAGATCTCGTCTGTACTCATTCATCAGGAAGTTGAGGAGAAAACCACTGCAGTTGGCAGCGGTCGATATGGAAATACAGACGTATCTAGACAGAGGATATGCGGAAGAGGCGGCCCCGAAACGGGAGGGTCAGTCGGCGCATTATCTTCCCCTACAGGCAGTGTTCAAGTTTAACAATGACGGTTCGGAGATAACTAAGACACGAGTCGTCAAAGATGCGGGAGCACGCAAAAGAGACGAACCATCTTTGAACGATTGCCTTCATCAAGGAGAGAACTTGCTCCCAAACGTGATCAAGGTGCTGTGCTCATTCAGGAGTGGTCGTTTCGCAATCACAGCTGACATTGAGAAGGCATTCTTACAGTTCGAGATTGCGGAGAGTGACAGAACCTTTCTGCGCTTCCTCTGGCCTCTGGGCATATCAGGAAACCCGGAAGCCCATCAAAGAGTTCTGGACCAGAGTGCTCGACTTTGGACTCATCTGCTCTCCGTGGCTACACATCAAGGGGGTGCGATATCATCTGGAAAGGTGCAAACGTCAATTCCCAGACTACGCTCCATTCATAGAGGAGGTGTCAGAGGATCTATATATGGATGACGTTTCGTTCCAAGCGGACTCATTGCCAGATGCGGAGAGGAAAATCGGCTTGCTTTTCAAGATTTTCGGTCTTGCGAAGTTCCCACTCAGAAAGTGGGCAACGAGCGACGCGAGGATAGCGGAAATGATCCGAACTCTATCTCCCCTGGAAAGCACAGAGATCACGACCGATAAAGCGGATGCCAAATTCTTGGGAGTTAAATGGATTCAAGGAAATGATGAGATCGGAGTTAGTATGGACAAAGCCGTAGCGGCACTCGCGGTGGAGTCTCCGACGAAGCGATCTTTACTAAAGGGTCTCGCAGCGATCTTCGACCCCCTGGGACTACTGGCTCCAGTGAGTGTTCGGGCCAAGTCGGTGTTTCAAAAGCTCTGGCGTTTGGGGGTGGACTGGGACGAGACGCTACCGGAGGAGATCAATCTGGAATACGAAACGTTCGTCGGATTATTGCGAAATAATTCACTCACGAGTATTCCGAGGTGTATTACGGGTCAGTTTTCGGCTGATCGATACGAACTACACGCTTTCTCGGATGCGAGCATGGATGCATACGGTTGCGTGATCTATATGAGGACGATCTTCCAGAGAACGGCGGAAACGCGTTTTCTCATTGCTAAAGCTCGAGTAGCTCCAAACAAATGCAAATGGTCCATCCATCGCTATGAGCTCATGGGAGCACTTCTGACAGCGAAGATCGCAGATCAGGTCACAAGATCCATCAAACTCAGAATCGATAAAGCGTTCTTCTGGTGTGACAACATGGCTTGCGTTTCGTGGATTCACAGTGACCCAAACCGCTGGAGCGCATTCGTGGCGAATCGGGTCCGAGACATCCACAAACTGTCAGACGCCTACGACTGGCGATATGTTAAGTCAGAAGACAATCCGGCGGATATCGTCTCGAGAGGGCTGGATATCTCGTCTCTACCGACTAAACAGCTCTGGTTTCGCGGTCCAGCTTGGCTGAGTAACATCGATTGGAAGGCAGATACGACCGACCCGCAAATAGAGGAAACCAGCGAGGAGAAAAAAGCGAAGCCACCCCAATGCTTATTGATCAAACGGAATGACGACATCATCGACGAATTTCTGAGCGTCGAACGGCTCTCATCCTGGCACAAACTGGTGAGAGCTCAAGCGGTCTGCAATAGGCTCAAGAGTCTCGCTCTTAGAGTGAAGCAGAATCACGACTCGTCGAGAAACAAAACGACGATATCGCGAAAGAACACGACGAATGGCTCGAGAGGACTCGGATTACTCGCGTCGGAATACGAGGCAGCGGAGATCGCATTGCTCTGTAGAATTCAGCGGAAACACTTCGCTCATGTGATTTCGGATACAGGGCTGAATGTTCCGAAATCCGATGTGCTACATCAATTCGCGCCGTTCATCGATCCAAGAGGTCTGATCCGCTGCAGGTCCCGCCTGGAACGATCTAGTCACCTCACGTATGATGAGAAGTTCCCAATCATATTACCGAGCGAGGGGGGATGGGCCAAACTGCTTATACTCTCAATCCACTCAGAACAATGTTGGCATTGGGGGGGAGTAGCGCTCACCCTACAAAAGATTCGGAGCAAATTTCTCATCCTCAAGGGTAGGAAGCTTACGAGTGATGCGCTGAAATCCTGTCAGAGGTGTAAGCGCTTTAACGCTACGCCGGCAGCAGAAATCACGCCG